TTTTAACTAGACATTTTCATTTATCTCACAAATGTTAAGTTTTGTTTCTACATATATTCTAGTATATTCATTGATTTTCTAAAGTCATATTTTTCACAGTGAATGGTGGCTAACAGCCACTTGCCAAATAAGCTTTCACTCTGAAATGTTAATCAGATACCTATTGTAAATTCTAATCTTGTTTAATATGCTCTATGGGAATTTTCTTATTTCAGAACACTTGAGTCCTTAATTACAAATGTAGTATAATATAATACAAATACCAAGTCTTATTTTCAATCCGGTAAATCAATTTAAGAAGCAACATAGAATAGTTATTCAGAACTTGACCTCTGTAGTCAGGCAGACCAAGGTTCCAAATTCTGACTTGTTCAACTGTTTCTGTGACTGTGAGCTGTTTTTTTTAAGTCTTAGGATTTTAGGTTATTTAACGTTTCTAAGCCTTAATTTCCTCATTAGTTAAATGGAAATAACAATAACGTGTGCTTTAGGGAAGAATTAAATAAGATATTCCATAAAAGAACACTTAATACTATGAACTTTGGCAGTTTTCACCACTATTATTATTTGAGAATTTTAATTTTAGAAAGCAAAACAGCATTTTAAAATAACCAATTTTAAGTGCTATGATAGAGTACAAAGCAGGGTAAAGAGATAGAGTTCGGTGGGGGAAAAAGAAGATATTTTATGTGGAGACATTAAGAAAATCCCTTTTGAGGAGGTAATAGTTGAGCAGATATCTGGATACTAAGTGAAATAAATGACCAGTAAAATTGTCAGTCTTCATTGAGTAATAAATAATGTGGCTTGGGAATTCTCGGGGTCCAGTGGTTAGGACTTGGCGCTTTCACTGCCAGGGCCCAGGTTTGATCCCTGGTAGGGGAACTAAGATCCCACAAGCCCCGCGGCGTGGCCAAAATCATAATCATAGTCATAATGTGGCATATTTAGTAGATAGACTAAATATGAATATGTATAATCTATTCTTGTTTTGAAGGAATGCTTTTCTACTGATTTGCTAGTTTAGTTATTCTTTAACATAAAGTTTAGAAACTGCTTTGACAGAATAGAAGCCTTGTCATATACAAGAAATATCTTGCTACAGAAATAAAAAAGGTATTATCAGGAATAAAGTATTGTTTTTAATTATACACCAATGAAGAGAGAAAAAGGGGGAAAAAATGGAATGGGAAAAGACGAAAAAAGAAAGACGTGCTTTAGCCTTCTGCTTCAATCCATTTTAGCCCAATTCTACCTCATAGTAGCTGACCCCATATGATGACTTCTGCCAAATTAGAGTTATAAAAAATGGTCCTTTGTAGGTTTTATGTGTTAACTCTGTGCCAGGCACTCTGCTAAATCCTTTACATGTATCAACAAAAACATTTGATTATTTGCTTTCAGAAACTCTCTGACCTCATAATGTTAGCTGACTCTAAAAAATGGGAAGTAAAGACATGGCATTTATGAAAGGATGTTTTTGCTGCCGGGGATGATTATCTTTGTTTTGCTTATTTGCACTCTTATCTCTTGTTGAGTTTAGTTAGCAGCATTGGGAATTGAATCTTAAGGCCAGTGTTTATGAGGGGATCTGAAAATTGTCCAGTATTATTTTTCCAGCTACGTGACCTAAAATACCTCATTTAACCTTGCTAGTACTCATTTCTCTAATGTGAAAATTACATTGTTTAAATAGTTAGAACCTTAGAAACTCTCTAATATTGTTTGATCAGGATTCTGATCTTAACTAAGGTGATCATTATGGGGTATGTGGAAAAGTGCTTATTGGTGTTTATAATTTTAAATGGAAGCAGACATATAGGAAAGTCTTAAGTATAAATACTAAAGTTCAGAAGATTAAGTAAAATTAACTTTTTTAGCGCAGCGAAACAAATCTCTCTATCTTCACAGGAAGAATCTTGAAGCTGGAATTGGCACTAATTTGGCCAACCTGATCAAATTATTTCAATTGGGTTTAAAATTTTGTTTCTTAATTTTAAAGAAAGTTTTCTTATTTTTATCTTTTTTCTTTTGTATGCACACAATGCGTATAGTTTTGGCTGGTCTGAAAAAAAAAGTGACTCCTGGGGCGGGGGGAAAAATAATTTTAGTTCTGACTCGTGGATTTTAATATAGGACCATTCACTAAATATTATATAATTCTGGACAATCTGGTAAGCCTTAATTCTCTATTAAATGTAAGTTAAAAATTCTCACTAGCCTTTACAAATATATTTTTTAAGTAGCTCTTAATTTTTTTTAGTTAAACTAATTAGCTTTACTGTTCCAAACCTTTTTACATGTATTAACATATTTAGTTCTCATAACAGCTCTATGGTGTAGAATACCATTGTTATTGTCACTTAACGTCACTGAGTCTCCGTTTCTTCATTTGTAAACTTGCCCAACGTTACATAGAGAAAGAAGCTCCTCTAGGATATAAATCCAAGAGTCCACCCTCTAAATTGGTTCTATTGGTATTGACCATAGTACCGATTTAAAATACGGTTATTTAATCTCAGATGAATGGCTAATTATAACTTTATCTTAAATACAATAAACGAGCATGTTGCTAGAAGGAGCTACTTGCAGTTACGGATTGAAAAAACTTTTTTGGTTTGATTGTAGTATGTGGAAGTAAGATGGAGTTTGAACTTACAGAGGGAAAATACTTAGATTTAACTAACTACTTTGAAAGAATAATACTAGAAACAGTTTGACATGGTGCCAGATCAGTAACACACTATACTTTTTGCCCCCTTCCAAAAAAGATTGGACTATAATGAATACTCAATTTGTACGAAAATGTGATTTTATTTTATTTTAATGTTTTAACATGCAACGATCTTGCAAATAAGGACCGTTTTTTTCCCAACCTATTAACATGTTTTACCAACTGATCTTTTCCTCTTAGGTAAATAGATGCCTCCTCTTTAAATAATTTTTTTTGGCAAAAATTATAATTCACTTTAATCAACTGATAAATGCTTATTTATAAGCATCTGTGTGCATAGATCTGCATGAATTATGTCAGATTGATAGATATCTTAGTTGAATTCCAGAAGGCTCTTGTGCTTTGAATACACAGATGATATTAATGAGGAAGTAACTTATAAGAGTTACACATTTTACTGAAGTGCTCTATCAAGGAAAGCAGTTTCCACCAAATCCTTAATTATCCGAATGTAAACACAGTAATAAAAGAGTTTTGTTGCTAAGTCTGTCTTTTGTAGGCAATTATTTTCTTATCAGTGGATTAGTGTGTTGTGGGGAGAAGGTAAATGCCAATGTAGAGTTACTAGCAGCAGTTTAATTAGGTTCCTTTATAAGTGATTCAAGCACTAGAGCTGTATTTTCTGTAAATTTAAATTTGCTATTAATCTCTTGGGAAGATTATCCATTCTGGGTTTGAAGGTTTTTCCTGTGCTAGAGAAACATTTAAAACAGTTCATTGTGTTGTGTATTGATCCTCTTAGTTATTTGTGCACAGAACAAATGAGTGAGAACAGTTTTGATTTAGAATGCTGACATGAGGGTAACATTCATGTTGGTTAACCCTTAGCCATAATAGGGTATATTATGTGCTAAGCACTGTGCTGAACACTTGACTTTCCCTGCTGCTCAGGGCTGTTGGAGGATGGGCCCCAGAATAAGACTGACAGAAACTGGCATTGATCTCTCACTCATGATTACTTTATCATTTCTATAATAAAGTGTATAGCATACTATTAGAATGTACTGTGTTTGTGACACCAGTAGTGGCAGATTATCTTTTCATTCGTGCTGTGATTAGCCTTTCTTGGTGGAGGAGTCAAGTGTTCTCCAGAGTCTGGAGCACACTGGGGCTGAGTTTCATGAAATGTATTTCAAACAACATAGTTGTGCAAGGTGTTGATACATGTTAAATAGAAAAAAAGAGATTTCTAGTTAAAAAGTGGGTAATACTTGTTTAGAATTTGTTCAACCATCCTCTTTACCGTAACACTTCTCAGAACTGTTAATGTGCTGATGTGCATTATGAATCTCTATATGAGGATGATATAGCATCTGGTCCTTCTCACCTCTCCCCTCCTTTTTTTTTTTTAAAAAAAAAAAACTCTTCAAAGAGAATGTTTTTGGGCTGGAAACATTTTGGGAAAAGGTGTTCCAGACCAGAGTTTCTCAGCCTTAGCTCTGTAGACATTTGGGATCAGACATTTCTTTGTTTGGGGGTCGTCCTGTGTCAGTGAAGGACGTTTATCAGCATTGCCCCCCACCCAGTTGTGACAATGAAAAATGTCCCCCAGGGGCAAAATCTAGTTAAGAACTATTGCTCTAGATTAATATTGCAGTATTCCAGGAAATTATAGGATACATTAGCAATTTCTTTCTGAAAATTTCCTTTTATGTGAAAGAAATAATAGTCTAGAAAGTGGAAGCACAGGTAGAGAAGGTTCAGTATATTCTGCTGTAATAAACGTTCTGGATCCACTTTGTACCCTGGCCTGATTTTCTTTTCTTTTCTTTTTTTTTTTTTTAACATCTTTATTGGAGTATAATTGCATTACAATGGTGTGTTAGTTTCTGCTTTATAACAAAATGAATCAGCTATACATATACATATATCCCCATATCTCCTCCCTCTTGCGTCTCCCACCCTCCCTGTCCCACCCCTCTAGGTGGTCACAAAGCACCAAGCTGATCTCCCTGTGCTATGTGTGGCTGCTTCCCACTAGCTATCTGTTTTACATTTGGTAGTGTACATATGTCCATGCCACTCTCTCACTTTGTCCCAGCTTACCCTTCCCCCTCCCCATGTCCTCAAGTCCATTCCCTGGCCTGATTTTCTAATAATTATTATGTGGAGAATTTACTGCAAAAAATAATTTCAAACTTTACAGAATATTATATGGTAGAGACTAAAAGTATATTGTCCATTAAAACACTAGCCGATGTTTAAACTGAACTGCTTATGATGATACTGCACTTTGCTAAAATCCATTTTTTCTTTTTTTATACAGGGCTATTTTCTTCTTTTTGAGTCCATGTTAGATTCTGTCCTTTATGCAAAGAACAAATACCTGGCAAAAGGAGGATCGGGTGAGTAAAAAATTCTAGTTTTAGTAATCTAATTTTAGTCTAGCAGAACCACATGAGCCTTTGGATTTCAAATAAACTATGCATGACTGAGAAAGTTCCCAATAGAGATGAAAGACATTTCCATCAGAGGAAGATTTAAGACATTTGTTTAGTGTACCGTTGATAGTAGAACATTATAGAAGATATGCAGGACTCTTAAGTTAATGGTATTCTCATGAACACTTTTAATAAAAATACTAAGGACTAGATTTGGAAGCTTTTTGATATTCAAATAAAAATCTAACAGAGACTCTTTGATTTTTAATCTTTGTGACATTTAGGGTTTTTTTGTTTTTGTTTTTTCCCAAATGAATGTTTCATACTAGGTTGGAGATCATTCACTTTGGTAGCAAATATTCCATGACTTCACTGAATGTATAAACCTGGCTTCTTTGTAATTTAACAAGAGCATTTAAGTAGTGAGTGGTTTCTACTAAGTTTTTTTTTGTTTTTTTTTTTGTTTGTTTTGTTTTTTGCGGTACGTGGGCCTCTCACTGTTGTGGCCTCTATTCTGCTGTAATAAACGTTCTGGATCCACTTTGTACCCTGGCCTGATTTTCTTTTCTTTTCTTTTTTTTTTTTTTTAACATCTTTATTGGAGTATAATTGCATTACAATGGTGTGTTAGTTTCTGCTTTATAACAAAATGAATCAGCTATACATATACATATATCCCCATATCTCCTCCCTCTTGTGTCTCCCTCCCTCCCACCCTCCCTATCCCACCGCTCTAGGTGGTCACAAAGCACTGAGCTGATCTCCCTGTGCTATGTGTGGCTGCTTCCCACTAGCTATCTGTTTTACATTTGGTAGTGTTGCGGAGCGCAGGCTCCGGAAGCGCAGACTCAGCGGCCATGGCTCACGGGCCTAGTTGCTCCGCGGCATGTGGGATCTTCCCAGACCGGAGCACGAACCCATGTCCCCTGCATCGGCAGGCAGACTCTCAACGACTGCGCCACCAAGGAAGCCCTCTACTAAGTTTTTAAACCACAGTATACCCAATCAGTATTTTTAAATAGATCCCAATAAATTTGGAAGGCTTCCTTTTCATGGCCATGGTGAACTTTTAATCATATTAGCTCTGCGTACTCAAAGTGAGATTGTGTTTTTACAGGCTTTCTGCTATGAACAGTTGTATACAAATAAATGTTCTCAGGGATTATGTTTTGCTCATCTTTGGCTCTTCACTGAGCCCCACAGCTTCTGGAACATAGATAGAACATCATACATGTTTTTTGCATTGAATCATTAAAACTGAATTGGATAGCATGTCTCCCTTCATTCACCTTTCCCTGTACCTTCCCTTTCTCAAAGCTTCAGAACCAATAAATCATTTCCATGGTCAGAGTACAATTGATAAAACTGTTATATAAAAGTGGGTGAAAAGGAGGATACATTTTGAACTGGTGACATAAAGCACTTGACCATACTTATGCCTCCTGCCCATCCATGTTCTATGAAATTACTTTGGCAGTAAAAATCAGTAAGGCCAAAACATAAAGCATAGAGAAAATTCTCCAGTACAGTTGAGTTCTTTTTATAATATCATTTAAACAGATTGCCTTTGTTTTTCAAAATGCTCTCATTTTATCACTGTATTTCCCGCAACCATTTCAAGATACGCTTCTGATCTCTGACGTGAACATGGCTAGAATTTTCAGATATATTTTACCCTGCAACAATTGGCTGTATCTCTCAATAATTGCAGTGATTGTTTTTAAAGACAACTACACTTAATGACTAAAAACTAATATTATCTACCATTTGTTGATTGTGCAATAGTTGCCAAATAATACACTGTACCTTTATTTATCTTATTACATGTAATCCTCATGTGTTGTAATCCTCACAACAGCCCTGTGAGACTTTAGAAACATAGGTGTCCTGGATGGTACATATTAAGTGCCCAAGCTTTGAATTTTTTTTTTTTTTCTAAACTCAGATCTGCCAGACTCCAGTATTCTTGTTCTTTTCAGTATCCCTTGTTGTTTCTTTACTAAAGTGCATTTTATTGAATCTAATTCTTGTCTTGAAGTTGTTCTAGGGAAGATTCAGACAACTGTTTCCATACTTCCCTGAGTGGTGTTCATTGATCTTACTGAAGGACGGACAGCAACTTAATACATTTAAATTGAATTCTTGATGAAATTCATTAAGAACTTACAGCCATGTGAATAATGAGGTTATAGCTGAAACAGTGGCAGAGCTATTTCCCATCATCAAAGGGATAAAGTGGAGGCTTTATTCTAGCTCTTTCCATATTTTTATATAACTGCTGTTAGCACTAAGATAATCTGGAAGTATATTGAAGAGAGGTCAGCATTTAACTTCATAAGCAGTGCTGTTGAATGTTACTTGTTAAAAGAATCAAGAAAAGTAGGAAAAGTCAGAAATGAGTAACATGAAGTAGTTTAGCCTATTTTGTGTATTTGAGTATGCCTTGATGAATAAATATCATCTAGATGCTCATTCTTTTATTGTAAACAAAGTTTTCTTTCATGTTTTTCTGAAGGAAAGATTTATTAAGCAATTAGCAGTGTCAGGATTTCAGAAAGAATGATTGAATTATGAGAGAGGGAGACTATTGGAGACCATATAAGCATGAAGGGACCACAGTTTATTTTTACATGAATCCAGTTTCAGTTTATGTCTCACTTTATATCTAATGGCATGGAATAAAGCCTTTATAAAAGACAGTCAGCCAATAACTTGAGTATTCATGCTCCTTATCACCAAGCAATTCCACAGTACTTTAGAGGTACTCATTTACTACTGTTATCACTAATAAAAATAAAGCTTTGTGGGGATTCCCTGGCAGTCCAGTGGTTAGGACTCTGCGCTTTCACTGCTGTGAACCCAGGTTTGATCCCTAGTCAGGGAACTAAGATCCCACAAGCCATGCGGTGCGGCCAAATAAAAAAAATTTTTTTAAGTTTTGTAAAGTTAGTGAAAGTGGATTTACTATTTTCTTCTATTATTAGCTAAGACTTACTAATTGTATATCAGAAATTGTTGTGTTTTACATTCAGCCAACCAAGAGATCAGGAGTAAAACCAAGAAAATGTTAGGTTGAGATCAATGCATAATTTTACAAGGAATTAAGATGAAAACCAATGTATATTTTAGGATGACAGCATAGAATGTAAATGCTTTATACCCTAAAAGTGTCAAATACCACATCTCACAAAAATTGTAAAGGGAATGCAGGAGGTAGGTGGGAAAGTGTGTATACTTAAATGGATTTATTTTTTTTTATTTTTTTTTTTTTTGCGGTACGCGGTCCTCTTACCGTTGTGGCCTCTCCCATTGCGGAGCACAGGCTCTGGACGCACAGGCTCAGCGGCCATGGCTCATAGGCCTAGCCGCTCCACAGCATGTGGGATCTTCCCGGACCGGGCATGAACCCGTGTCCTCTGCATCGGCAGGCAGACTCTCAACCACTGTGCCACCAGGGAAGCCCAGATTTATCTTTAATAGGAATTTATGGGATATCATTTAAAGCTGACAACTCAAGTAATAGCATTAGAGCACATTTAGCACTACAGAGGTAATATTAAAATGATACTGTTGATTAAAATTGAATGGTGAGGCTTGTGGTCATTGATCCTGTCTGTATCATGATTGTAGTGGTGATTGTGTAACTCTAGGTTATCAAATCACATAGGATTATACATCAAAAAGGACAGAGAGTGAGTTTTACTGCGTGTAAATTTTACCTCAGTAGAGATGACTTAAAAAAAAAATGAGGGCTTCCCTGGTGGCGCAGGGGACACGGGTTCAAGCCCTGCTCCGGAAAGATCCCACATGCTGCGGAGCACCTGGGTCTGTGCACCACAACTACTGAGCCTGAGCTCTAGAGCCTGTGAGCCACAACTACTGAGCCCATGAGCCACAACTTCTGAGCTCACGTGCCACAACTGCTGAAGCCCACGCACCTGGAGCCTGTGCTCCACAACAGGAGAGGCCACTGCAATGAGAAGCCTATGCACTGCAACAAAGAATAGCCCCCTCTCGCCACAACTAGAGAAAGCCCACGCACAGCAACGAAGACCCAACACAGCCAAAAATAAATAAATTAATTAAAAAAAAAATGCAGCAGCATCTTCCACCTCCTTCAGGTCAAATGAATTATGACATAATTTGATTTCTAGCTATTTTGAAAAATACATTAAAACTCTGTACTAACTACCTACTTCTGTAATTGTTGTTAGTATTATCATTACATCTCTTTTTGTAATTAAAAAAATAATTGGGTGATTAAGAAGAGGAAAGGAAAGGGAAAAACAAGGAAATATACTAACTTTATCATTACTCGCAATAGAAGATTAGTAAATACTGTTAAAAATAGACAACTAAAGATATTCTATAAGGTTGTAATTATAAAGTTAGCTACTAGAACAAAAAGGCAAACTTTGTAAATTAAAGAATTAATACTTAGGAAAAAAGCAAAAAGACCATGTAGTTGAACTACTTAAAAAACAAAATAAAACAAAAACTACAGATACAGAATAATATAAAATGGTAGAGTTGTGAACAAGAAAACGTTCTCATATCAATAATATAAATGGACTAAATTCATTTATTAAATGAAAAAGAATTTCAGATCAGATCACAAGAGAAAACCCAATTCTGTGCACTATATAGTGACACACCTAAAACAAAATTATATAGAAAAGTTAAACTTCGATTAAAAAAGATACTCAGGCAAATAGAAAAGAAGTCATGATATTGGTACCAAACAAAAGGGAATTTGGGCAAAATATTATATAATTATATGAATAGGGCTTAGCATTAAGGAGCAAAATCATGCCCATCTTCATAGCTACTGAAAAGGTTTTTTGTTTTGTTTTGTTTTTTGTGGTACGCGGGCCTTTCACTGTTGTGGCCTCTCCCGTTGCGGAGCACAGGCTCCAGATGCGCAGGCTCAGTGGCCATGGGTCACGGGCCTAGCCGCTCCGCGG